TCTATAGTGATTTTATTTTAGATCAGGTTGCAAAGATTTTTTTTATTTGAAGTACAGTTTATTTGTGTATCTTTAATTGAATATGAATGAATAATGTCATTTTTCCTGTTTAGAATTTAACTGAGCCTTTATTTGTCATTTATAAAGGATTCATAAAGCAAGAATAGTCCTCACTTTAGATTAGGTCACAAAACTAGGTGAAGTTGAGTTAATAAAGCATTTATTAACATACATAGTAACCATTAATATATGCCTGAATAATAAGACATATAAATGTTAATTTAAATAGTTTATTAATCAGTTACTAACTCATTCTGAATGATCCTAAAAACCCTCAACTACTCTTAAATACAACTAGTTTGTAAATAATGCGATACTTAATTTAGTAATGAAAAATAAATCATTTACTAAGTATGAAAATACAATTATTAAGTACATTTTAAATGTGCTTATAAGTCAAGAATAGAGCATTTGTAGCTGCAGTAATAAACTGCTTACTAACGCTTATTATTGTAGAGTTAATGCTTAATGGATAATGAATTCACTATTTGCTAATGCTTAATAAATGATTTATAGTGTGTAGTTATTATAAAGTGTTACCAAATAGTTTCCTTAAGAGTTGGTTTAGAGTGTTTTTTAAGGCTTGGTTTTGTTCATTTATTTTTATTATTAAAATGCTGATTTTCACTAAACAAATTACATTTAACCCTTAACTGTCAGAAGGCGTTTTTAGTACTAACTCAATATCTTAGTTAATATATATGTCACTCAACAAAGTATATATAATATATTAAATGTGAAATATATGAGGTGTCAGAAGCAGACCTTCCAGTTGAACAGGAAGAAAAGCTGCTGAAAAACAAGCTGACATTCCTTAAACAACACTAAATTTAACCCTTTACTGTCAGAGTAACTCATTATATACAGAGTAACTCATATATATATATATATGAAAAAAACAACAACTACACAATAGTTATGAATTGAGTTATAAATGGAGCTAAAGTTGCTTTATATTTGTGCATTTGTTAATTTTGACAGCTTTAAATACTGGCTCTGAAATGGCGCGTAAGAATGACTTTAATGACACAACATTAGCACGGTTTATTTGACTGTGACTATTGTAATTTGATAGTAGTTGGCTGATAATGTGATTTATTGAGGTAAAGTTGGTCTTATATTCGCACATTCAGACTTTCTCCTTAATATTATCACTTCAGAAAATGATTACGTGCTAATTCGAAATAGAAAAATCATATTATATTATTATATAATGACCACCAAAGTACAATATTCACAGTCAATTAAACAGTGCTAATGTTATGTTGAAGTCATACGTGCCATTTCAGACACAAGTTGTCACAATACCAAAACAAAGGAATATAAAAGCAACTTTAACTCAGCATATGATTTCACTAGTCATAATTAGCACAGAATCATTTTCTGAAGTGATATTATTAAGGAGAAAGTCTGAACATGCGAATATAAAACCAACTTTAGCTGCTTTAAGCTGAAGATGTTTAGTGAACACAAAGATGAAATGAGCTTTAATAAACCGACCTGTCGTTCCTCAGACTATTCTTTTTTTACTGTAAGCGCCTCTTCTTCAATCTTCACATCTTCACTCTCCAGTTTAACAGGATCTGTATTTCTTCAGTCGATTCAACAGTTGATATCTTTTTGATCAATCCAGTATTTTCTACGTAACTCCGCAAACACACTTTCTGTGCCAGGATGATGGAGTTTTTCATCATAATGCTGAATGAGGAGTTGACTGAGTGGGTGTTTGGGTTCATGTACAATTGGGTGGACGGTATCTGGCTTAAGCAGTTCACTATGTCTCAGACGACCACCGACTTTTATAAATCCAGGAGACTGGTCAAGCTCAGGGGCTAGGGCTAATAATCTACTGTTGGAATGTAAGGGTTTGTTACCCTTTAATGCATTAAGTTTAGCTGGAAAGCACATGGCTTGTGCCTTCTTCAGGACTAAGTACTCAGCAGCTGCATGGTCTTGGGCACATACTTCTTGGGTTTGATTAGTTTGCTATAACTGCTCTTGTGCTTTATGTTTCACCAACTGATCAAAGCTGTGGTACTGCGAGAATTCTTGCATTATATCAGAGTAGTCTATCGTGGTCAGGCTACAAAAGGTTACCCTACTCTCCTCATCAGTAATGTCTAGGACTGATTTCCTTGTATCTTAAGGCCAGGTACTTGAGTCTTGCCACAGAAATTGAGGTCCCTGCTGCCACTGACTGTGAACTGAGAGCTGCTGAAGGGTTTTGCAGTGGGTTATGTAGTCTGCTGGATTGTTTGCAGTCAGCTCCTGAATCTCTGCGATTCATGTACCCACAAACACTTCATATCTGCATGAATCGGACTGGATCCAGGACAAGACTGTCTTAGAGTCACTCCATAAATGAACCTTCTGATTGTTCAGTGTCAGTTTCCTTTCTAGAACTTTTGCTAGTTGAGCTCCACTAAGTGCTGCACAAAGTTCCAGACTGGGTACAGATAGCTGTTGTTTTTGGAACACTCGTGATCTGGCTGTGACAAATGCAACCTCAGCTTGGCCTTAAAGACTCTGTGTTCTCAAATATGCTGCTGAACCATATGCATGACTTGAAGCATTACAGAATATGTGGATGTCTCCTAAGCAGGACTCAGAATCTAGCTCTGTGCTGGTGTAGCACTGTGGTATGGCAATGTTGTTCAGGTGCTGCAGTTCCTTCTCCCATTCTTGCCAGGCTTGCACAAGTTCGATTGGCAGCAATGGGTCATCCCACCCATGTTTTTTTTAATCCCATAACCTTTGAACCAATGCTTTAGCTAGTGTTGTGTAGGGGATTATGTACTCTGGTGGGTCATACTGACTGGCTAGACATGGTAGGCGTACCTCATTGTGGGTATTTGTGGCTCCCTTGGATGAGTTTTGTAACCAAGTGTGTCTGTTTGGCAGAGCTAACGTAGACCCATGGTGGACTCAGAAACATCTCGCTGCTTTTCAGAAAGCTAAAGCTCATTTTTCTCAGGTCTAGCTTATGTAGGAAGGTGAGCAACAGCAGACGGGATGTTAGAACCCCACCGCCTTAATTCGACCCCCCCAGACATAAGTAGAGTCTGCAGCTTGTTCACCAGTTCGGCTACTTTTTCAGTTGATATTACACTCTGCAGGTAATTGTCCACATAGAAATGTTTCTCCACAGCTGCACGTGTGTCTTCACCTGGGACAGTATTCTCCTGGACATGTTTGATGACAGCAAATATTGCGCAGCATGGACTACATGTTGTCCCAAATGGCAGAACTTGCCACTCATAGATGCTGACTGGATTATCGCGTTGCATGTCTCTCCACAGAAATCTAAGAAGCTGTCTATCTTCTTCGAGCAGCCAAATCTAATGGAACATGCCTTTAAAGTCACTCATGATGGCAACAAAATCCTCTCTACAGCGAAGCAACACTCCTAACAAGGTGGAAGGAAGAGTGGGCCCAGGCAGCAAATACTCATTAAGGGTATGGCCTTGATACATGAAGGAACAATTGTACACTACCCTGTGTTAGCCATTATGGTGCACCATATGTTTAATATGTTTACCAGGATTCATGTGTTTGCTTGATTGTTTTTTTTGTGACAGTTTGATCGCATAACCAGATTGCTCCAGCTTTTCAATTTCTTAGGTTGTACAGGTTGTACACCTTTGCCAGTTCTGGGCTCTTGCTGTACTGGCTCCATCTGGGTGATAAAGTAGTGATGATCAGAACCTATAAGCAGCACTGGCTGGGCCTGCGGAAATGCAAAAAGAGGCAGTACTTTGAGATGTTTATATTTCTTTTACAATAGGGCTACTAGATGTGAATGTTTAGCCAGATCCAAATTTGCTGCAGTGAAAACACTCTTTATTTTGAATCTTTTGTCTGGCTGATATGCTGGAGAAAGAGTGAAAGATACTTTTAAACCATGAATAAATTAGGTGTCATGTCGAACTGTCCTTAAAAAAAGCTTCTCTTCCTGTCTATTAGGCTTAAGTTGTTCTGCTGCATCATGAAGCAAGATGGTACGTTCAGACCCATCATCCAGAATTGCATAAGCCATTAGTGAATGCCCGCCATTGTGTAACAACATTTTACTGATTTTCAACATGACCTGGCTGCCATTTGCTGGCCAATCAAGGTACAGGATCTGACTTTCTTGAGGCATTTCAATTGAATTGAATTGAATTTCAACTTGCTTCATCTCAGCTGATTTTGTGTTGAGGTCATGCAGGACATTTAGGTGTTTGCCTTTACAATTTTTACAGATGCCCTTTAACCTGCATTGAGCAGCTTGATGTTTTCGTCCGCACCTCCAGAATCTCATTCATCTTAATCCAGTTAGTTTTGATTTCTCTGGTTAGCTGTGCAAAATTTGGGCACTGAATTTAGCTAGTGGTCTTTATTGTCACAGTAATGACAGTATGCATTCTTGCCTGGAGTTTGAATTTCTGAGGGGTTTACCACTGGAGTGTTTGAAGACTGCTCTGCACCCTGCAAAATGGCTGCCGACTGTAAAGTGGGCTTATGCTGGTATAAGGTATAGCTGTCAATCAGTCCCAAACTACCAATAAATCCCTAAACCTTTTCAACATATTGTATAAACACACTTATTGAATATTAGTGAACAGCACCCTATAGAAAATTATAATATAACAGAGAGATATGTATGAGGTGTACTCATTTATATATAAATCTCTAATCTTATTTTAAAGATTCAACATTTCTCTAAATATTCTTCAGAGACCTCTCAGATATCATCTTAAATACCTTCTCTAAATCTTCCTTCAACACATTTGAGTTTAGAGAATCTGCACAGATATCTTCAGCTCCAGTGGTTTGTGTTGTCTTCAGGACACGCCCACAGTCAGGAGAGTCTCATGAATATTCATGTAAGTGTCACTCTGTGGAGCCAATAATATTTCAGGATATACCTGTAGATCACAAAGGTGTGTTTTAGTGAAGTGAAAGAGTGAAAGAGCTCAGATTGTGTTCCTGCTGCACAAGAGCGTCTGTACTTCTGCATGTGAGTTTAACACTTCTACATTACGCTGATTTGTGGAGATGATGAAGGGGTTTTATATGTGTGAGTGTGATTTAAATGTCTGATCCTAAAGATCAAATCCCCAAACACAGATTAAACACTGAGTCAAACACGCTCATTTAAACACTGTGTCTAAAAGCTTTATTTTTAATCCCTTTAAAGTGTTTGTTCTCTTCTATATCAGACTGACTCAATAGTTTCAATAATTCAGCATTAAATATAACTCTAAACATTCAGAGCTACGAAATCAAAAGTAAAGTTAAAGCAGACCTTCCAGGTGAACATGAAGAAAAGCTGCTGAAAAACGAGCTTTAAAAGAGTAGGTTCAGATTGTTTTTTAAAGCTTGGTTGTGTTAATTTATTTTAATTATTAAAATGCTGATTTTCACTAAACAAATTACATTTAACCCTTAACTGTCAGCAGACGTTTTGAGTACTAACTAAATGTGTAGTACACGGGTCACCAATCTCGGTCCCGGAGGGCCGGTGTCCCTCCAGGGTTTAGCTCCAACTAGCCTCAACACACCTGCCTGGTTGTTTCAAGTATACCTAGGAAGACCTTGATTAGCTTGTTCAGGTGTGTTTGATTAGGGTTGGAGTTAAAATCTGCAGGACACCGGCCCTTCAGGAACAAGTTTGGTGGCCCCTGGTGTAGTATGTCACTCGACAAAGTATATAACATATATTAAATGTGAAATATATGAGGTGTCAGATCAGGGAACTGCATTCATTTGAAGAATATAAAGTGTGCTGTTCTTCATCTCAATATATTGTCATCTCCAGGTGATGGTCAGCGGCTGATTGTTTCCTCAAAGCTCTGCTAATGTCTGCATTGGTGTTTTAGCTGCAGTATGGCAGAGGAGCGAGTAAAGGACTCTCTCTCAGAGAAACACAGGTATTGACTCTGTTTTTACACCATTATTTCAACACTTTCTCTGAAGAACAAAGACCAACAACAATGCACTTATTTGTGTTGCTATTGCCTGATCAAATGATGGACAAAGCTTCAGTTTACAGCTTCAGCAAATGTGTTTAGATCATTCTAGATTACAGACAGCTCGATCAGAATATTTATCAGAGCTGAATATGTGTGATGTGTGCTGTTTAAAGTCCTGCACAACATCAGAGTTAACACTGACCACAGAACAGTTTCAGCTTGTGCTTATAGAGGAGATCAAATGAAGATGGAATGAACTAGAACATTTAATACAAATGTGCATGATAAACTTACAGTTCATAGTTCAGTGAAGGGAATTATAATATATATTTGTTTTTCAGACTTTACATACATTTTCAGAGATTAAGTTAATTCCTATAGATGCAAATATTGTTTTTTTATATTCCTTCATCTGGTTTCTGTGTTCTTTTTTAATTCCACAGATAAAAATATCTAAACTCTTATATAAGAGATTGAAGTTTATTCTGCAGATTATTCCTCTGGTGTGTTTGTGTTTTCAGGATGAGATCAGTATCACTTTTGTCTCAAATGCTTGAGCGCTCAAAACAACGTCAGAAAATCAACACAGATTCTTTGCTCAGTGAGAAAAAAGCATCATCTGCCAAAAGGTATTTTGTGGTTTACTCTATTGTTCACACAAAAACTGTCAGCAGTGTTCATCAGGATTTAAAAATAAATAAATAAATAAATTATATATATATATACACACACACTTTAAGGATTTTTTTTCAGTGAAATGTCCAGAAAAGACTTGAATGGTATTATATATTTTTCTAACTTGAATTGTTCTGTATGTATTCATCCATAGTCCTAATCGGCATAAATATCTGACCATAAAACATTTCCATATTATTATTTTTTTTACCTAAAATAATGCATCCGAATAAACTCTGGTAGTAAAATGTCCTTTTTGTCATAGTGAGTTTTAAATAAAGAGACAAAAGAATCATCTGCCTAAATAAAAGTACAAATGGCAAGGTGAAGATTAAAGCAAACACAAAATAATCCAAGTAACAAGGTGGCAGACAAATACCAAAAATATAATCCACAGAGCAGAGAGACACAAAAATCGACAAGGTTCATATGTAATTTAAGAAGCATTCATATGCAAACAATCCCATCATACAGATATTCATGGGCTCTATTTTAATGATCTAGAGACAAAGGGGCCTATCATACATCCGGCACAATGCAGCGCAAGGCGCGACGCAACTGTTGTTTGCTAGTTTCAGCTTACCACAAAAGTCGTTTTTATGTTTTGCAGCACGCTGTTTAAATAGCAAATGCATTTGCGCTCATATATGTTTCCATAAGCGTTCTGGTCTAAAAAAATAGGCTTGTTGAGGCGCATTGCTGATGCATTGCTATTCTGAGGAACTAAAAAAAAAATTTCAATAGACCTGCTTAGAGGACGTCTAAAGTTTAGCCCAGAGCTTGTTAGTTGTGCCTCGCTTACACATTGCTTAACACATACAGGATGTACAGCAATACACAAATATCTTTACATATGAAAAATAATTAAAATATTAAGGATATAGATAGGATATAAATTAATTGGCTCCACGGCCAAGCGGCAATGCCGAGCCTCCCGCGGGAATGCGACGCCACCGCCCCAGGGTGCTGTTAAGTCCGGTAAACGGACCGTGAAGCGTTCCCGGGACGGGCCATTCGGAGAAGAGGGGACCTGCTCTTTCCTTGGTGGGGGGCCGAGGATTATTACATCAGTCCTCAATGACTCTAAACTCATCGCTGCCGGCCTCCGGGCTAACGGCAACCAAATTTCCAAAAGAGCAGTTTCCTCTCTCTCCGGATGCGCAAACCCGAGCACTGCCAGTGTGGAACGCTCCACCTTCCATCTTGCAGCGCCAGGACCCCTCGCCTCAGGCCCTCAGAGTGCAGCAGAACGGACTCCTTTCTCTCACTCTGGCCTCACCGCGAGATCCAGGGAGGAAGGTAAGAGAAATTATCTTATTTTCAGCTCTTCCTCGGGACGCTCTGCTTCCCAGGATGAGCACTCCCATCCCGAGCTGCCCCTTCCGATGGTGCCATTAGCGCGCACTCTGCTGGCTTGGTTAGCACCGCTCAGCGCGTTGCGGTGGCTCATACGGACGGTCTGACTCGGCTATGCGATTCAGTTCGCTATTCGCCCTCTCAAGTTTACGGATGTCCTTTTCACGAGGGTGATCCCCTAGAGCACCCCTATCTTGCGAGAGGAAATTGCTGTCCTCCTGGCGAAGGATGCAATCGAGCAGGTCCCTCTAGCCGAGATGAGGTCCGGGTTTTACAGCCCGTATTTCATTGTGCCCAAAAAGAGCGGGAGGTCAAGGCCAATCCTTAATCTGCGCAAACTGAACTGTCATTTATTCAAAATGCTTTTCAGAATGCTCCCGCAGACACGCTTAATTCAGAGCATCCGTCCAAAGGATTGGTTTGCAGCAATAGACCTGAAGGACACATGTTTTCACATCTCCTTTCTTCCACGCCACCGCTTTTTTCTCCGGTTCGTGTTCGAAGGACGAGCGTGGCAATACTAAGTCCTCCCCTTTGGACTCTTTCTGTCTCTGCACGTTTTCCCCAAGCTCGAGGAGGGTGCCCTAGCACGCTGCGCCTTGTGGACATCCGCATACTCAACTATCGCGACGATTGACTCATCTAGCCTCGTTCCGCGATCAGCTGATTATGCACAGAGACAAAGTGCTTCGGCACCTTGACCTGTTGAAGTTTCAGGTCAACCGAGAGAAGAGCAAACTTTGCCCTGTGCAGAGGATCTCTTATCTCGGGCTGGAACTGGATTCGGTCACTATGGTTGCGCACCTCTCCAAGGAGCGCACCAGGCTGATGCTTTCCTGTGTAAGCAAGCTCCACAGGAAGATAGTGGTCCCACTGAAATGTTTTCAGATGCTCCTGGGGCATATGGCATCCGCAGCCGCGGTCACGCCACTCAATTTGCTGCATATGAGACCACTTCGGCGTTGGCTTTGCAATCGAGTCCCCAGACGAGCATGGCACGCGGGCACGCACCGGGTGCGCGTCACTTCGCTGTGTCTCCGCACCCTTAGCCCCTGGACGGATCTGGTTTTTATACAGGCCGGAGTGCCCCTAGGGCTAGTATCCAGGCATATTGTCGTGATGACAGATGCCTCCAGCATGGGCTGGAGGGCCGTGTACAACGAGCATGCAGCCGGGGGTTCGTTGCCTATATCAATCGTATGGGGGGTATAGGCTCTTGCCGCATGTCTCAGCTCGCTCACCGTCTGCTCCTTTGGAGTCACACGCGGCTGAAATCGCTGCGTGCCATCCACATTCTGGGCGAGCTCAACCATGCAGCCAGTGCGCTCTCACGGCAGCTAGTGTCCCGAGGGAAGTGGAGACTCCATCCCGATTCGGTCCAGCTGATATGGTCTCGCTTCGGGGAAGCCCAGATCGATCTGTTTGCTTCCACCGAGAACGCACATTGCCAGCTGTTTTATTCCCTGACCGTGTGGTCCATAGACAGAGCGCGGAAGACTTAGGTGACTTACCGCCCACGGTACTTAACACCATCACTCAGGCTAGAGCACCCTCTACGAGGCATGCCTATGCCCTGAAGTGGAGTCTATTTCTCTGACTCTGGCGGTTAAATCCGTCCCACCCCCCTCTCATGCCCTCTTGGGATATCTCTCTAGTCCTAGCGGGTCTGCAGAGTTCGAGCCACTCAAGTCAGCATCTCTTAAATTCTGTCATTAAAGACAGCTCTGCTGATCGCATTGGCGTCATTCAAGAGAGTTGGGGATCTGGAGGCATTTTCGGTCAGCGAATCGTGCCTTGAATTCGGGCCGGGTTACTCTCACGTTGTCCTGAGACCCCTGTCTGGCTATGTGCCCAAGGTTCATACAACCCATTTAGAGATCAGGTGGTGAACCTGCAAGCGCTGCCTTCGGAGGAGGCAGGCTCAACCCACTCACTGCTTTGTCCCGTTCGCGCTTTGCGCCTTTACGTGGAAAAAACGTAAAATGTAAGATCATGTGAACAGCTCTTTATCTGTTACGGTGGTCGGCAGAAGGAAAGTGCCGTATCAAAACAGAGGTTGGCCCACTGGTTAGTTGATGCCATCGCCTTCGCTTATCAATGCCAGGGCGAGCCGCGCCCTCCTAAGGTGAGAGCGCACACTACAAGAGGTGTCGCTTCCTCATGGGCGTTATCACGCGGCGCCTCTCTCACAGATATCTGCAGGGCTGTGGGTTGGGCGACACCTAGCACATTCGCGAGGTTCTATAATCTTCGAGTGGAGCCAGTTTCCTCCCGATTATTGGGTAACCCCAATCAATCGGGGGGGGATTAAGCTCGGTGTCACAAACGCTTGCTGCACCATGCTCCCTAACCTGGAGATGCGTGCGCTTTATCCTACTCTGCTAGTAAGTTTCCCTTCTCAGGCGAATCCTAGAGAGTTCCTCCGAGGCCCTCATCATCGACTCAGCAGAGGAGAATGATGAGCAGAATGGTACGCCCATTTGGTCTACACGCATATTGAGGATCGGTGCCCGCTATCTGCATCCCCACTTTGTGATGCCATATGCATCATTACCACGTTGTGTTCTCCCTTATCAGGCGGTCCAATGTCTTCCCTAACCGCTAACCAGCTTATCATATGTAACACTACCCCTCATTAGGGCTAGTCCATATGCCTCCTTACCATCAGGTCTCCCCTTCTGGGTAGCAGGTGGTCTCTGCCGCGTCCTCCCCCTGCGGGGACTCATGCTTCCCAACGAACTGTCGTATTACCAAAAATCCCTAGTCTATATTAGCTAGGTAAAAGCACACTTACGACCGCCGATTAACTTAAACATTTATTCCCATGTAATGGTAATATGTTTGGCCTAGGGGACGTTGGAAGGTTACGCTCTTGGTGATGTCAGTGCGCTCACGCTTTGGCTTGGCAAACTACACATCAGGCGCGT